AAAAGCCGACCTGCTTACAAAAGTTGGGGCAGCATTTATACTCCGCGAAAGACGAGCATAATCGCGATTCCAAAATATTCACTTGAACTTCAAGTCACATTCCACTGGTGCAAGCCCGCTCTTTAGCGTGGCAGGTTTTCAATGGACGAAAGATTGCTCTGTTTTCATGGTAACTATATGTGCTAAAGGCGCTAGGGGCCTTATTCCCCTGAAGTCCTCGCTTCAGCCCCACCTCTTCATTTTGACAAGAAATAGCGCTGCCTCCTGAGCTTAATACGATTCTACGCACAGTGATAAACCGCACAATTCACTTCTTTTAACAGCGAACTGATCAAAAGAAATCATAATTCACCGTTTAATTGGCTACTGCTATTTCATGGCAATAGAATTGCTAACTTCTCGTTTCAGCCAACTCATGTACCAACTTAAAGGCAGTGATCATAAAGGCTGAAGGGCGGTACGGTTTTGATGACGTCATTGAACGCCACTGGCGACAGGGCGTCAAGAGGCGGTCCCAACCAACCGTAGCGCGTTGAGGGAACAAGTCTAACAATGACGATCAATACCACATCACCCTCTAACCTTTGTGATTACTGCTTTCAAGAGACACACAAAAGTAAGCGAAAACGTTGCCATTTCAGTTACTGGGCATGGTTCTCGCAATGATTCTCTGCTGCTGTATCAACACGGAGAACAAAAAATACGATTACTAATCGCTCAGTTCTGTCAGATGTCGTGGATGCACATTACCCTGTGACAACGAATCGCGTTCCCATCAATGGCCAGCTATTCCATCAGAATGGGGCCACTTTTGTAGATACAGTTTTCGGTTATTTTTTTACTTTCACAATACTCAGTCATTTAACGAGTCATTTGGAGAGAATAATGAATTTTATTGTTCTATGACACGCAAAGGCACATATCATGAAACGAATGTTATGTAGAAAGACAACAACAAAGCCGGGATACCTTGAATTGAAAACACGTGAAAAGATGTGCAAAGTGACTTAAAATTAACCCACAATTTGTGATCCTGTCTTGAGCTGATCGAGTCATATATACACTCTTACTTTACAGGCACTGTTACTGAATTTTGAGAGAAAAATTAAACATCGTAAATTATGCAAACAAATGGTGACGAGATACTAACCACAAAAAGCAGATCAAAATTTTCAAAAATGCCAAAAAATACTCTCATAGATAGCATATCAACTAATACTGTCACCACATAGCTTTCAAAATACACACCTCTAAACATTAGCAATAGATGCCCACTCACCCATATTACATTAAATAACTGTGAAAACGCATGCAATATGCTAAAAGCCAAAAACGGGAACAAGACCACCGTCGAACTCTAAGACCAGCACACTCAATTGAAAAATGACAAGAGTTCAGGTATGGGCCAGGAAACGGAATTCACATGCGACGCGCACCAAAAACATATGCCGCGCGCGGCAACATAAGCCATCCGCCGCATGCGCGATTCCGTGCGGCTTGCCCCGTACCGCGGGTATTAAGAGCTGGACTAAAACCAATAAGGTTTCCCTAAGCACCATAAAGGAATTTAAAATCACCCATGGAAATTGAAAGGAAAAATCCGTGGATTAACTTGGTGTTAACACAGCAGAGCCTCGCAGTTCACAGTCAGTAAATCATCTACATAATTTTAACGTGTCATCTTTGTTTCCATTTTCGATTTCCAAACCAATCAACCCAAAGTTCAGTTAAATAAGCAGTCTTCCCTCTGGTTGCGTTTTTACGCCTTGCAAGCGACAATCGTATCTCTTGGATCAGCTCGTTCACGTAAAAAAAGGAGCTCCAATGCATTGCGTTCAGAGTATGTTATTGCTCGCGCGGGAAACGTGAGCTAGGCAGCGTCCATAGCTCACGATTTGAGAGATTACGCAATTTCGGGAATTGGCGATTACGCGAAAAGGATCGTATAAGCATTGACCAGAGCCGACACACCGCATCGACTAACGGCCACAGGGAGACAATTCACTTGATATCTACCTAATCCTGCAAGTGGAATTGATGAATTGTCAGATCGCCTAATCGCTGACTTTTCACATCGATACAAACACATCCTTCTCAGAGGAATCGCGCAAATCGTGAGCAGTGAACCCTCTTTATTATGTCACCGTTCGCAGAGGACCTACGCGATAAGACTGTACGTAATAGAACACCCAACACATTATTTCTCTGATATAAGCAACTGGTAGCAACTTACATCGGTGATCGTTTTATGTAGAGCAGCGCTCGGCTTTCAACAATCTACCAAATTGACAGGCACGATCGTGACGAAATTAGACTAATGGCAGTAGTGAAGAGTTTCTGAGCAAAGAAACTGGTTTGTTCAATCACTCACATAAGGGAGATTATCTGGGTATAATAAGATAGATATGATAAAATGTGCTCTAAAAGTGGTTAACATGAAATGCCAGATAAATAAAACCAGTCAGGCAGAATCATTCAATCTGGTTCGTAAGAAAGGGATATAGCTCCGAAGAGTAGTTTTCCGATTGTTACGATTTTCTGAGTTATCTGGGGCTTGGAGCACACCCAGCTGTGCAGGTGTTAAAAGACACAATGCAGAAGCAACCGCAAGTCCTGATGTACCGTTTGGCGTTGTTGCACGACCACCTGTCGGTAAGCGTACGGCAAGCGTGAAAATACCCGATTTGTAATTACTACAAGGCTCCACGGAAAGAGGTGTCGGTCCTTGAACCGGGCCCGATGCCTGAAACACATTATTAAAAACTAATGGAACCATGAATCAAAATGAAACCTCTACGCTCAGCTCAAAGCACTAGCTCACATTAATTGAAACTTTCAAAATTTCGGGAATCTTTCACATGTCAACCTTATTATCTACCTATAAAGACTAAGAAAATCTGCGAAAATTATCAGTAACTCATTTGGTAATAAAGGCCCAATAGCATCGCTCAAAAACGTCAGACGGCTTCAGAACAAGGTAAAATGGATGGTTCCCTGAGCGTCGTTGATTTGGATTTCTACTTAATGCTACAAGCTTTACGACAGTTAATCAAGAGCCAGGCACGCTGTCGGATTTAAACTCATCAGCGCATTCAAGCATTCAAATCTAGAGCAGTGCATAGTTAATGTAAAACTACAGACAATATGAAGATGTCGAAAGTGAAACATACCGCAAAGCAGTGTGGGCTCGTAAGTTCGAGTTTGACTGAAGAAAATGGACGAGACGCCATCTAAAAATCGAGATATGTGAGAGCAATTCATACCAAGGTTTGATCAAGTTTTCAACCACGCCTTTTTAAGGTCTAAGTATGCGATAATTGCGACCATGATACTTAAAACGTCTGCCAGCACCCAATCACTCCTCATAGAGAACTGCTTATCGAGATTAGTGGGCGTAACACAAAAGAATAGCATCTTAAAGCTCCATACGCTGCTCTTTCTACTTAACACGTTGACGACCGCCGTTGTGCGCGTACTGCTTCAACATTTTTCGTATTCTCTCATCAATAGGCATTAATCCTTCAGCGTTTTCATTATCAGTAATGAAAAAATTGTTTTTCGGATCCAATAATGTACATGGACCGTTGTGGAACAGGAAAAACGCCAAATAAATTAAGGAAAACTGCTCGATGTGAAAGTGTGGTATAACATCATACACGGTCGTCAACGTGTTAATCAACCCTCTAAACATATCGACAGGACTTATCATGAAAAATGGCGCTAAACGGGTAAGCGCGATAGCGTAATGATAATTTTAAGCAATCGTATCAGATAGATGTAAATGGTAACGTCGGCTCTTGCTTCTTAGAAAACTAAGTTTCCAGAAGAGAAAAAACACATCCACTTCTACATTGCTCATCCATCTCTTCTAAGACTGTGAGGCGACAACGAGAGTATCACTTTAAAAAGCATTCGACAACATCATGTTTAGCCCCAAACAAAAGAATAAGGAGGCCATTCAGAGAACAACCTTCACATAAGACAATACAGAAAAGACAAAATCTTAAAACATAGCAAACTCACGTGTTCAATTTCATCGATTCGTCGTTGATTTCTTCGATACACCTCGATTCGAAGTTTAATCATCCACAGTAAACCAGCAACAACCAAAAGCACAATGAAACAGCTAAATTGAGTTTCTCTCAACAAGTTATTTCGGAAGCACAGCAAATAATGGATGTACTTACGCTGCAAATATCACAAAGAATAATACCCAATTGATAGGGGGTGACTGTGCAAAGGACACTTGAATTGTAATCGGAGTTGTAAAGTTGAAAACTCGGACCTGTAAAGAGTCGACCCTCCATAGAAATGGGAAATAATTTCAAAAGATCACATATCTCTTTGGATTGTAATTTTGGCAGGCAACTAGCGGCCAATAAGAACCACGACAAAGAACTTTCACAATTGGAACAGTAGTGACATCAAAAAACACAACACTGAAAGGCCCATAAAGTGGAAATAGACTTACAAAGAACGTAGTATTTGCATCGGTTCCATAAGCATAATCAGGATCCGATGCAACATAAACCCGGCGGAAACCTTTCGAATCACAAGTAGTATTGAGCTGTAATTATTTCGATACCTTTGAAAAAAAAATTCCGTGAGGTCGGAATAGGTACAAAAATAATTTTTGAGCCCCATATTTACAGCTGGGAAAATTTCCTGAAAAAAATGGTTTCTTCTAATATTGAGGAATGTTAGCTGGCACTTCCAAAAACAGGAAAAGCGCAGCAACGCAGGGGTCCATCCAGAGAACAAGTATTACTCTTGCTGTGGCGCATAGATTTTCCACAAATCTTCGATACACGCACCACTCTTCCCTCTCTTTTTCTATTTATTATCGTTTCTCTCTCTTTTCCCATGACATGTGGCTTGCATGTAATAAGTAAGAAAACTCACCATCATTCTTCTGGGAGTTGACTCAAATAAAGAAGAAGTGATATTCAACGCCACATTTGCCTGAGATCCTCCATCGCAACTGATTTGGAAGGTCACATCCGTATCCTTCTGAAGCACAATGCCTATGGATCATTGAAAGGAGTCACTACAACGGCTGATAGGCGGAAGCAATTCGGGGACCTTATTGGTGGAAGACGTTGGAAGGCGCTCCGACCAAGAATTCGCCTCTCAACACCCTCCCAACAATGACGTCCACAAGCAACCTCAGTCTGTCAGCTATTATGATCACTGCCTTCAGATTACATGCTCTCCGAAAAGAAAAATAAACGAAAAAAAACCGTAAAGAATGAAGTACAGTCAGAAAACAAATAATAGTATAATAGTAATAAGAAGAGAGCATATGTTCAAAGAGGGAAAGAGGAAGCCTTACATAAGATTGTTATGAATGATTACCTTATGAGGAATGCTGAATAGATAAATCTCAGTGGCATGCTTATCCTTGTCTTCATTTTTCAACTTGAACGTAAAAATGAAGTCAACGCTCAGCTCATCTGAAAACCATACAAGGTGACATCAAACTTTTGATCAGAAGCACAAATAAGGTCTGAAATAAAGCCAGAACTATGGCAGCCGATTTACGAAAAAAAAAACGCTGAGCTACAAACGGTGGAAATTCTCAACTAATTGAAATATTAAAAATGTCAAAACGCGCAATTACAAAACATCCCTGGGACATGGTAAATATGTAACGTAGCCTGATATGCATGTTAGGAACCAGTGTTGGAAGGGGCTTCGAGTGGTACGTATCTTATCTCAAATAGCCAAGTCAACCTGGCATCCTATCCTTGTTAGACCTGACATGCACCCTCAACGAGTCGACATGCGCTCATTTCATGCATTCGGGTTGAAGTAGGACGAAGAGCGTCTTCTCAAGACAATGCTGCCACACTTTAGCATTTGACAGAAAAAAAAGCAGCCTTTCTAATCTCATTATACCCAGATGATTTTTCTCCAGGGCCAATATTCAAAGCAATTACCTTGAACATCTATAAGTAAAAAAGAAGAGTTGGAACTTACAATAACAAGGAGTTCCGTTCTTCGGTTGTCCATAGTACTTCTGATCACAACGGTCACAACTAGCTCCACTTACACCTTTCGTTCTGCAGTGACAGGAACCCGTGATATGATCGCAGGTGTCCGCTTGTCCATTGCATTGGCAAGCTATAATTAATTATTTTGACGCTTACTTGCAATGCGGGTTGATAAACTGAAACGACATAGAAACAACACTAATAATCTCAAGAATTTTATAATATGCAGGTCGTAAATCAGAGGTACAATTCATTCGCGAAAGTTCATGATAATCACGAGCTGCATGTCACGGAGGACACAGTTCCTGATAACCTGCTATTCACACTCGCTGTCTCAACATACAGCGCTTCGTTCACGTCATCACCATAAATTTTCTCTAACCCTCCGTATACAAAGCGCAAAGCCTGTGTGTATCTGTCACGAAATTCGGTATTACATGAAGATTATCCTTTGAAAGCCAGGTGGAGCTTGAGGAGTGTAGGACATTATATACGTAGCGAGCGAAGGCTCGTCGACAGTGGGATATATTTCGGTGAATGTTACTACCCTGAGGCTGCCTAGAAGCACGTTTGGATAGGAGGATCCCAATCCTCTACGCCCCTCCTCAAACTCTCGCCACAACCATTTCAAGTTTCAGTGGCTCAGTTTTGTCGAATGCTGAAGTGTTACCTGAACAATTGTCTCCGTTCCTAGGATCACCGTGATATCCAGGAGCACAGATTTCACAATGTTTTCCCATAGTGTTATTCTGACATTCACCGCAAACTTCTTGCACTCCACCTAGGGTATGGCGTGTCTCGTTGCACATCGAGTGACCATTGCATTGACAAGCTAGAAAGAAGAATAATATGCATAATAGTCCGACATTATCGAGTACATCGACAAGAGAAGAGGGAAATCGAATATTGTATAACGTCACATTATCAGATAACTAAACATTTAGGCGCCCTGAGTTTATCTGCGAATTTGTCATAGCTTTCGCAACGAGTGAAAATACGCCCCAAACCTCCAGAAACATTCAAACGTCAGAAATGGGAGCATCATTGTTAAGTGTATACACACCTGGACAGTCGATGAAATACCACTGATGAGGATGAAAATTTGGTGAACGTTCCAATGGACCACGTGCTGATCCCCGCGTGCACGTGCCTAGTCCTGTACGAGAACCATCATCGAGCCACCCACATTCGGGGGACAGTTGACATTCAGCACACGTTTTGTGCGAAGAACAGTTTGAAGATTCTGGAAATAGGCTACATTCAAAGTCGAAACTTGCGTTTGTGCCTGTAAAGATCAGGTTTTTTTTATTATGGTAGATAGCACAAAACAAGCAGCAAGACAAAAAGAGAGATGATGGAACGCACCGATTCTGCAAGATTTCGAGAATGCAAAACCATGTGCATGACCAGCAACCCAAGAGTGACACTGGCCGTAAGCGAAAGATAGAGCATACGCCTCCATGTTTATGCATCTGGAAATCAATCACTGTTTCACTTCATGAAATGTGTGCACTAAACACATCAATTTCGAACTCAGACAACAAGTTGTTTTTATTACAAATTCGCAGATATTAAATCCAACTGCTAATCCACATGCGCTTACTTATTCCTTTTTCACTGGAACTGAACCGGAACTTGGACAGGCAAATAAAAAATTGGAGAAAATACTCGGAGATAGTAATGGTAAAGCACAGGTAAAGTGTATTAGCTTCAATGAAAGCAACAGAAGACGAACCTGCTAGTACTTGGACACCACATGCATTTTTGCTCTTGTAGACATTCACTGCATGTGTGTAGTGACGAACAGGGCAGAGGACAGTATGAGAGGTTTTGACCGGGAGGAATCGGAGGTGGCGTAGTAGGCAATCGCAGCGGCAGGCTGGAGGAAGCGACGCGATCCAGTTCACGATCCAGCTGCTCTTTTCTCAGTAGAACTGTAAGAATTAACAATAAGTACTGCAATTGGATATGTTGGATATGACCAGGTCAGCTTTAAAGCTATTCAAGCCATGGAACTTAAACTATGGATCGCGCGAAACATCCTGATGCCACATTAATCTAGGCGCAATCAGCAACAACTTCGTTAATTTAGGTCGTGACTACTCTGCTAGTGACTTCAGCAAAAAGGTTGCTGAATGAAGAACCCGCTCGCCCCCTCCCCCTCCCCATAACACAAGTAAACAAGGGTGCATTTGACAATATGCAAAGGCAATCTCATGCCGTACTACAACCTTCCAAACCAAGACTTGTTTTAAAATAGAAAATTTCATGCCTGCAAATCTAAGAAGATTGCAGTGTTTGCCTATATCATAAGAACTTACTTTCATCTTCTAATGGAATGCAAGCAGGCTTCCCTTCAACTGCATACCAGTTGCAATGAGACAATAATTTACAGCTTCGACAGTCATTTGCCATTCCACAAGGGCGCGGTGGAGGAGGATCTCGCGACATGGAGCATTTCTCCCAAGCTGTCAACATCACCTAGAAGCGGATGGTTACACATTCCGATCGGAAATGAACGCCAATAAACCGTAACTTCACCACAGGCGAATGAACCAACTCAATCGGAACATTTAAGTTCTCAATATAAATTATTTTCGATGGGAAGTGTCGGATTTTCGCAAAGCACATAGGTGAAACTCCAGTTCGGGGGGGGGGGGCACTCCATTTTTTCTCCAATACTCAAGATAAGGATTAGAGGGCTCACGACACGTAATCGACTCATTTAAAGTAGACTTCTGATAAATATTGGTGTAATGGGTGAGAAACCCTGAAACGTTTTCACATTTCCGCCTGCCATGACCCCAAGGGAACGGTCCTGGACCAGGAGAAAGGACACCTCCGCAAAGGGCTAAGGGTGCAGGAGCTCCAGGGTGGATCACCTGTGCAGAAAAGTGGATGGGATGTGGGCAGGTAGTGTGGAATGTAGGACATCCACCGGTCCTTATCAAAAGTACGCTCGAAATGAGTCGTTCACTTATTATCTTATCCGTAGTGTTCGATAGCCCAAAGAACTGCTCTCTAGTACTACGGATAAGATAGCAAATGGAGTGCCCCCCCCCCCCCCGAACTGGAGTTTCCTCCCATAGCTCCACGTAATAACGAATATTTATTTTTTTACCAAAAACTTCTCATAGAACACTAGACGTGCGTCGCCATGCGCTTGCCCAAAAACGTGAAGAGCGACCAATTCTTCTCTACTTTTTAGTCCAAAATCACGGCTTACTTACTTCCCTGCGGTTAAAATGAAATTTTAACAAGGCTTTTAGAAAAACCGTACTCGGTATAATTTTACTCTTTCACCCGAATCAAAAGTCATACTCAAAATATTTGCAAAAGATTAAGATCCGGAACAATGAGAGAGCGTCTGAAATTTTCTTTAACTATCACCAGAACACAAAAAGTCATGGTTGTAATTATTCCCTGATACGTTCCCATGTGAATTCAATCTCTCTAATAGTATTGAAATATCAATCAATTACGCACTCATTTGGTGTTGGTAGATATCTTTTCGACTTTTTCACTTTGTTGTATGAAAATATTTCATGAAAGAGTTCTATATGCAATAACAATAACGTGATTACGTAAACATAAGGAAACAACAGATTTTGTGGAATAGAGAAACGAGACAAAATCCACACCTGTCCGTCAACGCATTCGCCGTCACTTGGAAGACACTGGTCTCCAGATGGACACCAACCACAGCCAGGCTCAGAAATGCACGACATGCAATCATTCTGCTCCTCGCATATTTGCAAAGCTTGCCTAGAAATAAAACGCACAAAGAATTGGGCATATAAGGTGGTGAAACAATTTATTATAGAAAAGAGGCCTACCTCAGTGCAGTGTTCCTGCATTCAGACATCGATTTCGGTGACTCGTTCTTGACAAAAGACAAGAAAGATTGCTTGTAGCTAACAAACGGATCGAATCTCACGCAGGCACGATCCGTAAATATGCATTTCACTCCATCAATCAGTGATCGACATTCTTCTGGACGTGTAGCAGACGAGCACTCAGCTAAATTAAGATAGAAGTGGAGCAGTTAAAGAAAACGAATTAACAATTTTCAGTTTTCAAAATACACGGGAGCACTACGAGTATTACTGTACGACCATAATTTTGACGTCTACTACAGCCCTGCAATTTCAATGACAACTTTTACAAAACGTACCGCAAATGGAAAAGATATGCAAGAGGCAGCTTAATTTATTGTTGATTTTCTCTATTCTTTTTCAAACATGAGGAGATGGCCTACTTCTAAAAGCCGGCGAGATGGCCTGCAGTGACTAGAAGCTATGGTGATATCAAAACAAAGGGAACCGCATCCTCATTCAGGAGAGCCGGCGCTAAAGGAGACACAGGGAAGAGAGAAATGAGAGAAGTAAGAAATAGAGTTATGACGCTTACTGTGTACAACACCCATCTGGCTGCTCTGACCTTGAATACACTGCCCTACTACGTGCTTTCAAAAATGTAGATACACACTTGTCGAATTCATATTGCCAAACATCCTACATAATTCGAAAGAACAAAAAATGAATGAACCTGCAGAGAAGCGCCACACATCATTCAGCATTCTCCCGTTAAATCCTCCAATGATGTACAGCTCATAATTTGTTGCAACGGCGGTGTGGCCATAACGTCGTAACTGAGTTTCGCCAGAAGAAATATTGAACCACTGTTTGCAGGCTAAACACGTTCGTTGAGCAACATCTACATCCTTTTTTGAGGCCACAGCACCGTTTGTGACCATACCAGCAGTGCACGAAAGTTTTGCCCGTCTTTCCAAAAAAAAAACAGGTTAGAGGAGGCGCGCATATAAGAGACAGATGTATGTTCATGTAGAAACGGTTTTCGATAGACCGTTGGTGATCCCCAATTTGAGCGAACATGCACCCAATTCCTGCATGCATAATAGATTTCACTCTAAGCCCTAACTTGGGCTAGGAAAATCGGCGATTTTCTGGCCGAAACACAAATCTGACGAGCCGTCTGCTTTATTAAGCTGCATTTTTTTTCCAATTAGAACAACTGACCTATATCGTACGCTTGAACCATTGATGAAAAGCATTCCTGCTTTGTTCGAGATTCACTGATATTATATCCATTTCCTCCAACGACAATCATTAGACCGTTCAGAATGGTTGCTGTATGCAGGAAAAGTTGTACACCAGATGGAGGTAGATTTGCCCTTGAAAATAGACACATCGAAACAAACGAAACAGCAACAATGTGTTTTTAAAACTTACCACTTCTCGTGCTTGATGTCATATCTCATTAGACTGTCAGTGAGATTGTTTTGAGTATTGGACCACATAGTACCTCCGTACACGAGAATCGCATCACCCTTAATGAGAAGGGCTCAACAGTGGGATGAAAATTGCCTAATTACCTTCTTCAACCTTCGCCCTGGCCCACTATTAGCTGCTATCAACCTTGAGCCCAGAATCCAAAAATTTCTGATTCTTCCCATTTGTGAACTTGGTTATACAACTTAACTGGGAATCATTCTTTGTTTCCCACTTTCTAATTCGGCATGAATGTTGAGAATATTTCAAACTGATCTTGTAAATTCAAATGTTTATAATACCAATGACTAGTGCGATAAATAAAACAACAACGAACCGAGTCCATTTTGTAGTGGACAGATGTGTGCCGAAATCGCCCATATACCTGATCCTTTGTATTTCCAAATCGCCACTTTCCTGTCTCTAAAAATTTGTAAACTTGTTACATTTGCATCCATGGAGTCCTAAGCAAGTGGTAGTGTTCTTACCGAAATTGTAAATTTGGACGTTATGAACAAATCCTATCTCAGGATGATAGCCAAAGATCACATACATTTCAGAGCCAATCACATGCGCAGTGTGTCCAGAAACGGCTAGGGGAGGGAACTGCAAAACAACATACATCTGTCGTATCCACAAGTACATAGGAATAAGGACAAGATACCGTTAAGTTCCTGTTCTCGCCGTTTTCTTGATGCCATTCCTTTGTATGCAAATCGAAACTCCAAAGCTCACTTGTAATATTCTTCCTATCAATAACACCACCGTACATGAACAGCTTTGTCTAAACGAAAACACTTCCAAGCCTGATGCTCATGAAAACCCTGTACACTTCAGTGAGATGTGCCTGTCGATTGTTCAGGGCACAGGTAAAAACCGAACACGGTTCCAAACCAGGTAAATCGTTGCGCTCACCTTGTAACGTACTAGAGTGTGGTCAAATCTTGGACCAGGTTTAACTTTTCCTCCTACAACGATAGATTTCCATGATCGAGAAGTTATGTTGAACAAAACAGGATCCTCGAATACTACCCCACTGAAGTGCTCTCCTCCTTAAAATAATTTATTTTAGAAATTACAAATCAGAACGATCACAATGCACTACTATCAGCAAAAAAGAAATTCCGGATAGGAGCAGTTCGAAGAAAATTAATTTCAAGTATCTTCATGTGATCAACCACCAAGCGAAATGCAATTTTAATAATAGAAGCTCTGGCCCATAATCCATCATTGAAGAATATTCGATCAGTTTTTTTTTCACTACCCCTTGTGTGCCTTTAATCCGAGAATTAGCAAAAATAACTAGGACAGGCAAGATACTTACCAATGCTCCAAATAACGTCATCTATAATAACAGATGCGTGTGAAGCACGTCCAGCGGGTGCTTTATTGGTTGGAACACGGTCCCATACAGACCGATCGTTTCGAGTTTGACACGAATCTCCTAAACGTGACAGTAGAAACAGTGGGAAAAAAATCACGGCTGGTAATTACTATCTTCTGTGCCACTACCCCGCTGGGAGAATGACCACTCGAGGTAGTAAAGATCCGCCGACATCGCTCACAGGTTAAGATGTGGTGAAGTAATCCGTTCTGCGGCGTGGAACTTTGGCGAAAGTGTTATAAAAGTTGCTAACCAAATTGAAGAGGAATAAATCATGTGATTAAAAGAAATTTTCGAATAAAGTTTAGAGAAAAGCAAAAGAAAAACTTCTGTTGTTGAGTTTGAGCTACCTGTTGCAAAGTATGACCTGAACGTCCCCTGCGGTGGCAGACCGCAGCCCACATGTGGGCTGTATGGTTTTCGAAGTGTTAATAATAGTAGAAAAAAATTAGATGAAGACTGACCGTGATACGAAGCAGCACAAGAGCAACGAGAATTTTTGCAAATTCCTCCATGCAAACAAGGTCCTGACTCATTGTCTTTTGTACAAACACGCATTTCACAAAAATCACCTGAATCAAAAGAGTTACCTTAGGATCACAAGAAATTCGAAACAAGGTCCACAATAGAAACCAACCTGTAAAACCTTGGTCACAGATACACTGGCTATCTCGACATGACCCATGAGAATTGCAATTATAAGGGCATCTGAAACAGAAATAACACAATGAATAGAATATCCCTCATTTTTCCATCATAGTAAGCCACACCAGCAGAATTTTTAGCTAAAACGTTTTTTTTCTGCGTTAGTATGATGTACAAAGGCGTCACAATTATTCATAGAGATTATTGTTTTGTCGCGACGATGAGAATGTCAGTCTAATTGCATTCCTATTGCACGCTGCGAAAATAGGCCGGTATTCGCACATTCAGGGAAGCAAATGACAATTTTCAGTTGTGGTTAAGGAATGCGATCGGACGATTTCAAAAGCAACGTCACACAACTGCATCGCATCCCTTGACGGCGACCACACCCGATAATGCGCATAAGGACGCATTTAACCAGTCCCGATCGGATTTATGGAAACAAGTAACCTCAAGTATATCCTATACTGAACGTATACTGCTGGATTCGCTAGTGCACTTCTGTGTACAGACACCTTTGAGTTATGTTAACTTCAGCTCATAGAAAGTTCCAAAGAAAAAGGCTGTTCTTGATAGGAGAATGAGACGTACCTTTCAAACTCGTAAGTAATATTGAACCCGCTTAAATTCATCGCCAAATCACTGAAGAAATAAATCAACGCTTTACCAGATGGAGCGCTCAACTCTTGCACTTCTTGTTCACCACTGAAATAAAAAACTTCTTCAATAATCAAAGCAGCCACATAATGAATTTTCTTCTGAATGCAGAGAAATACCAAAGGCCATACCAAAAAGCTGCAAGTTGTTCGCCATAGACGCCATCACCATCATAGATGTACACGAAGTCCCAACCACACTCCGTTTGAAAATTTTCAAGTCGTATATTCAAAGGAGCTCCAACCTTCTGAAAAAAATAATTGCAGTGATTCCAGTGATATTAAAGAATCCAGAACATAATAACTATACCTTTTCGCTCTCTATTACCCATGTGCATTTCGAAGAAGGACTGTAGTCAAGGGGGCCATCAATAAGATGGCTATGATTTTCAGTTACTCTGGAACAAACGATTATCAGTGTTAAAAACGCAATTATCGCTACAGAACATTTGCATAAAGGGCCATAACGTGTTATGCAAAACAAAGACTATGCAGATAGACCTTTCGGCTTAGACGATTTCGCCCTCTTAATGGTGGTTCGTCCCTAAAAGTGTCGACACACCCAAAACTGCATTAAACTTTCACTCTAGCACACGTCAAGTGCTGACTATCACCTATTCATCAATTTTACATCAAGTTGACCCTTAATTAGCATATTCGAATGTTTCAATCACCCCACCATTCCAACTGCAAATCAAAAAATGAAACGAAACAGACTTTGTGTTCAAGTTTATGGCAGAGTTGTGACTGTTTTTATATTAAGAGGGACCTTACTAGAGGGAGGGATCACGGTGGCTGGGAGTCTGGCCTGACTTGGTCTGAACATCTTTGGACGTCACTGATGGACTAGACCCCTCAACATGTGGAGGATGTGTTGTGAGGCCCTAACACCATTCCACCGATGATGTTCAGAGACCTCGTCCAAACCGCTGCACCCAACATCGCGATAGCTGCCTTAATGGTTTGACCACTTAGCTACTGCAGACTCTGCATGAAAACAGTTCCCACCTTTCATTGAGAGCGAGTCTCTCATACTTACTATCATTTATATACACAACACAAACTGTAGACTAGACATATTGGAAACCAAAAAACATTTAAGTTTCAATGAAAAGCTGGCTCACTTGATTCGCCCGTAGCAGTGATCACACTGACTTCCAACCCATCCCTTCGAACATACGCATGAGCCATTTAAGCACACACCATTGTAGCAATGTCGGTCACATGATGTTGATAGAGACTGCAGAAGATAGCTTTCACATGGGTTCTTTCATTGTCGAGAATACTAGTTGACTTCCTCACTATTAGCCTTGGTTAGGCAACACGATAGGGTAAAGATGGTTGGGGCGAACTTCTTCAAAGAATGTGGAAGAATTTGCAACCAACGATCATCTTGCTTTTTTAGACTACACTGTGATTCAATTACTTAAACACCTATTAGAAATTAGGACACTACTGCAGTATTGCAGTCCCACTGGGAGCAAAATAGGACAGAAATTTATCTTCGCCGAAACATTCCCTATCCGGGTTATTGATGGCCATGATCACATGACATCAATTTTTTGCGTCAGCTCAATTTGACGCCCACATTTCCCCCAAAGAATTTACACAAACTCATATATAAGTATTCAGAGCCCTATCAACTAATATAATATTCGATTTTGGCAGCAGCCATGTGGCAAAAAAATTGGCACAATTTGTCATCGTTTTGGCTCCAAACTGTCGCCTAAAACCTATGACATTTATGCAACCACGACATTTGAATCCCCAATAATATACGCTTTCACCAAATTTGGTGAAAAAATGAAGGCGCCATATTGGCGTTTATTACGTCGAATAACCCTTAAAGATGAAATTTCACCAACTACTCGATTATTAGATTATCATGGTAATACCTGCCAGCGCTACCGTAAGATGCGGGGGCATACCAGGACTAAGCTAAAGAGGAGGGAGAAGCTTGGGGAAAATGAGAATTGCTCACGCAATCTTGGGTTTCCTCTCCCTCATGAAGCTTAGTCCCCTTCTAATGAATGGAGGTTTTACGCGATTTCAAATCATTGCCACAATAATGCCCCACAGCGCCTACCTCCCCCATAGAGCAAGTTCCCAGGAAAAGAGTGTACCTTGCACTCCATCTTCTTATGAAGAGTGCAGGTATGCTAAGTGAGGGGGGAAGCACCCCAGCGCAAATTCATCCAAGCAACAGTAATCCATTTTTCACAGTGAAAAATAAGACTTCGCCTATTTTGCATGTGCAATAGGGGCACTAAGCATGTAGTAAAATTGAAATATTCATCGTGGATTTGAAAACATCGAGTGCTGTGCGCCACAAGGCCCGCCTGTAAAATAGCGCCACAGAAGGAAAAAATAATTAAAACTCTGACCAGTGGATGGAGCCTACCTTTTCTAAGTCGAAGTTTGCCTGATTGGCAATAACTAGCAGTGGAATGAACAGCGACGTAAATACAATATGTGGCCATTGTAAAGGGAATGGGTTGATCCCACGACGAACGAATAACATCACTCACACATTGAGAACAGTCTGAAAGTATACCGTAGATTGATTGAAATCGTATGGTAGTGATTAGAACAGCATCACCATGCGCAAAAGCTGACTAAAGAAATCGGGCGGTGTACACAATAAAACCGAACGGGAAAAAACATGCACACATACGAAACAGTACGAGCATGCTGATAGTACAGCAGCATGACATCAAATTGCCCACAGTCATAAAAAACATAAATAAATAAACAAGAATCCGCTACTCCGCTCTTCTATGCGGGACCTCACCACTACCAATTAGCTGTAACTGGGATAAATGTCATCCAAAACACCACGAATGCTAGATAAATGAAGAATACAGAATTCCTGTGAACTTTGTGTGAATTCTACGAATATGAGCATGAGTAAAACATGATTGGGTTGGGATGTTCTGATTGCTGTCTTTTTAATCATTACAGTTTTCTGTTTCTAACTGTGCATTGTTTACTGTTGATCTAGCGCGGCCACAGGGTGCATGAATAAGCAAACAAATAAATAGATAAATACGACGCAAAAGTTGACTATGGATCAATAGAACATGAATGTAGGTTGCACAAGTATAAATAAAACGAGTAAGCCCTTACGTGGCCACTTCCAAATGTTCGCTCATACGATTATTCACCTTATTTAGAAATAACAAAGGTCTTTGTATGGTAATGACTGTTGCAAACTCGATGAGACAATTAAACAAATAATCTGAATACATACAAAGAAAGTGGAGTGAGTCACCATAAATGGACTGCCTTCGCCACTGTAAAAGTTAGTCACATTGCGCCACGATATTCTTAGCTTAGAGCATTTCCAATGGACAAAGAATTTCTAGTAGTAATCATTTGAAGAGAAGGAGATGAAACTAGTAAATGAGACAACTGCAACTAGTTAATCTTAATGGCAAATACTATGGAAGCAGACCAGGCGGTGAAATTGACGAGACAGGTTGTGGAACATACGCGTCGCAGCCGCGCGCCTATTAGTGGACCGACTTGGAATTATTGAGATAACTAGTACTCCATTTCTCTGGGCCTGCTTTGCAAAGTCAGACGGCAGAAGGACGAGTACGTTAGCGCACATATGGCCAGACCAGAAGTAATGACCGCAGTTCTAGAAGTAATTTAATGTTTCTCCTTCCTTGTACGCGAGTGGTCTGTTCGATATGATCCTGTAAGGCAACACTGCGCCAAGCCAGCAAGCGGCTCGTTAAGGTAGGAGTGTTACGTTTCAAAAATTAAACAAGTAGACTCAAGCCACGACAGTCGGCAATGAAGTGACAAGGCAGCTGCCTTTGATAACCGCAGCGCTAGAGTGCAATAAAAAGCTATGTCGTTAGCGACATCGCTAGTTGTTAAATTTTCTCTCTCGCTGCAGTTTTCACCTCCTATCAGTGTCAATCAGACGGCTTCAATGAAATGTCTACTACACAAGCAAGGTTATCAGAGAAAAGCGAAGATTGTTTTGTCGATGGGACGCGGTTTATGCATTGGGGCGCGCTATGTTGGTTTTTTCACGACGGGATGACTTCGGCCCAGCCATGCTATCCTGAGATGTGCATCCTCGTGCGTAAAAGCGATATAAAACCGGTCCCTATTTTATTACAAAGTGAAGAGGACGGTTTTTATGTAGAGAAACCAAAACAAGCCGGAAGAGAGGATTTTAGCTTTAGCTCATTTGGTGAAAGGAGCGTCATTGTGCATGATACAGATTTCACGGGTCCATCAACTCTGGGGCTCTTTTTCTTTTCAAAATCCAAATCACCACGCTAACATTTGTTTCTCAGCAAGGGCTAACACTTGAAGCCTTTAGAAATATGAAAAAAATGGTGTGGAAGCAGAGCTCAGAGCACCTTCCAACTTCAAAACTCCCTGTTCATAACTGAAGTCACCGTAATCAGCACGAACTATTCGGTGCAAAACTATTTGAGGGGCCCACATGAAGATTGGGTTGTGTGATCATTTGCGCTCTGCGTGAACGGCTCAGGATTGGGGTAGCACTCAGTTATAGACCGTCTTTGAAGTGGGGGAGGACTTCTTGTGCGTGTTTATCACCATGTCCCTTTGCCTCTTAGTGCTAGTGTCCCTTACCATCGCTCCGCGACGCAACCGTTCCGGACACAGTAGCAATACCGTTCCCGCTCCGCTTTTTCATTGTGTTCGCTCTCTCTTTCTCGGGCTGTGATACGGGAAGGCGGCCCGTCCACATCGGAGCTCACTAAAAATGTCTACCCCATGGTTTCCCGCTGGTTGTTCTGCACTTTCTAAGCTGACTCATCCCACTTTAGTGAAGAGAACTTGGCATATAAAAGCGCGCCCCAGTGGCAGCATTGTCGTCCCAATGACAAAATGTTGGCCTTGTTCCATGCCTCGACATTTAAGTCTTATGGATGGCAGTGGCTGCCCTACCAAGATGTTAATTCCTCATCACCTGGTTGTTTTCAACCTTGCAAATCATGGCTGGATGTTGTTAAACCTTCCAGTTACTTGCATCCACCACATCACGCTCTGGCCGTGTTCTGAGGGGCTTTGCTTGGATTATGATGGAAGTAGCTACTCATTTAGGTGGTTTTTTAGCACTTCGGCAGTCTGTTCGTAGACTGTTTCTCATAGTCAGTTGAAATACTCATTAAAAAAAGTGCCAAGGGCTGTATTCTGTGAACCACCCCCTCTCCTCCAAGATAGATTTTCTCTCTCATACATCTTCTTTTCAAGTCATGCATGTTTTTCTCATTACCTGCACACAGTTTCTTTAAACAGCGTCCTTCCTCGACGAAGTTCATTGTTGCACACAAATTTTTATATTGATCATTTCGGTCTCCCGATAATGGCATGAATAGTATAGAGCTGTAGATCTTTCGAAGTGCACTTTGTTTCTTCCTTGGAACATAAGTGATTTTATGGTTTCGGCCTTTTTTTAGCAGGTTCACTTTAGCATCAAACAGTGTGTCATGGGCGTCGATTGTTGCCATGACTCATATTGTCCGCGATGATTTCGCAACTCAGAGGATCCAATTGCGGTTGAACGTTTAGCAGTATTTTTAAGGAGTGTTTGCCTCGACTGTTCGTAGCTTATCCGTCGAAAATTCAAGTTCCATAATGATAAGTACTGCGGCTTTTCATTAGTTCATTCTAGGGAGACGCAGTGGCGTACATGCGGAATGCTGAAGTTTTTTCTTCAAAAATCCAGCCCAGAAGTGCATGAAGATGTAGTGTCTGACTACTTGGACTTTCGTCAGGTTCCTTATTTCGTTACTTTGTCGCCTATGTTCGTTTTGAGTATGATTTATTTACTAAAATTATGCACTCCTTTGAAGGCTTTTTTGTCTGTAAGTTTTAAAAAGCATTTAAAATTTACAGACAGTTCGCCATGGGTTTCCTTCTCGTATATCATGCTTCGCCTATGACCACGTGCTTAAAATCCTTGCTGTTGGAAATCTCGATGGTGACTTAAATATGTAAGTCATTTCAATGTCTCCTTACATAAAAATTTTGGCGCTCATGGTCTCGGGGGTTTACGGGCTACATGAACTTTCTTCCATGGTCCTGCCACGTATGGCGGAGGGCACGGACCGTAAGAGGGCGCACGCATAGTCGGTCGGACGACAGCAACGATCGTAACTGTCGCACAGCATTGGATGCGTATCGATCGTCGGACTTGCCTGAGTATTCGACGATTAGATGCAGTTAGACAGTCAGACAGTTGCGATCGTTGCTGTCGGACGACCGACTATGCGTGCGCCCAGAGAACGGCGCCAGGCTCGGCTCGAAGTCCCAGGGAAGGAGGTGGGAGCTGTAGGACTAAGCCTTGTAGGAGGGAGGAAATTCGAGGTGGGTGAGCCAACTACAGTGTGGCAAAAGTTTGAATGTGTGTGATCTTGATTTTTCCTTAATGTGTGTATCCTGATTTTTCCTTAATGGTCCTGCCGCGATGGCTAGAGCACAGACGACTAGAGAACGGGTGAATGCCCTAGGACTAAGCCTTGGAGAGGGACCCGCGAGAGAGCGCAGAGGCGGTTTAAAGGGCTGAGTTCAAGTAGTCCGTCGACCCTCGGGGGAAGGGGGGGGGGCATTCAAAATAAGGCATTCAAAAACCGATGGTAGATAACACTAGGTGTAAATCTAGGAGAGGGGGAGAACGCTATCGAGAGCAAAAGTTGCTCACATCGTCCCCAAGTTGCTCGCATCCCTAAGTATTATAAGGTGCTCACTCACTTGAATGTACCTTCAACGACATGAGCGCCAAAATGGTTTTTATATAGCTGACTACTGTGCATAGTAAAGCAATTTTTGTTCTTTTCATGTGCACTAAATTGAGAAGAAACTTGTGGGAGACATGCACATTGTTGTTGAGCGACTGCTTTTCAATTTTTCTTAGCGTTTTCTTCCCAGTAGAATACAGCTTCAATGCTGAATAGTTTTCGGCTCTTTCAGTTTTCAGTGCAATTTCTTCAAGATATGACCCTACATTGTTCACATAGAGTGATCGTGGAGTCATCATCATTAGTGTGCTTCCCACTGTTTTATCTTTTTAGATATGGAGGTGGCGGATTTATATGGACGGCTGAGATTCCGGGTAAAAAAGGACTGAGCAAAAGTGCTGCTCATATGTATTTTGCAAGTGGCTTGGGAGTTTTGATAGTTTTATGTCGAGATTCCACATTTGTACGGTTCTCCATAAAAGGTATGTGATATGTGATATTCCTGTTTTCAACAATGAGAGATGTAACTTGGGACCATTCAGGTGCTGATTTGACTGCTCGATCGGTTTTGCATGAAACGAGATTAAAGAAAATCACTAGTTGCTGCATGCTTCAGCGAGCGAATGCTCATGAATCAGTGCTGCTTATAGGTAAGGTTAATTGATTTTTGGCCAGCTTTCTTCTGTCTTGCATTTGTATTCTACAATTGTGACGAATCTACATCATCATTTGTATCTTATCTTATCTTGTACCACATTTGTATCTTGATAGCGTTTCATAACCTTCTGATATACATTGATTAAGGCCGGCATAAAAGTTTGAAACACTGAGCTCACTATGATCACAACTGCTTACTAACTATAAGAACTTACCAATTTATAGGTTTTCTTTTTTCTACTATATTTTTGTTGTTTGTCTGCCTAAATTTTGGCATCTCTCCGAAAAGTTGTCGCTAGTATTCATTCCAGTCTTGACTTGGGACCGTTAGCGCAGGGGTATTCTTCAATCTAATAGTTGCTCATTTTCTGTAGGTCAATCAACACTCGTTTAAGGTACTGTCTCTGGGAATGTTTTTGCATTGGATATCGATTCATTGGAGCTCTCAGAATATATTGTCTTTGAAGACTGTTTGTTGCAGAGGTGAATCACTTTTTGTTCGAGTTCATTATTGCATTCGATCGTTTTATCCCCTACAGAATTCCGGAAAGTTCAAAGCAAGAAAAATATCCTGTGGACTTGTTATCTGTTTGTCCAACTAATCCAAGGCTTACAATAATGGTGTTGAATCATTGCCTACTTCTTTCGTATGATTCGTCAACTAATGAAGTACTCGGGACCAATTTTTTCGACGTTCAATGCAAGGTACCTTTTTTCATATATTTTTGTGCGTTTTAATGGTGTGAATTTTTACATCATACGTTGTAACATGTATTTCATTGTAACATTCCAATCAAAGGCGGATTCTTCATTGTCGGACATTGATGCCAACTCACTTTTTTCGTTATTTCTCCGCATAATATGGGTGCCTACCTTGCCACGTGCCTGTTTTCACTTGCACTTGATTGCGTGAAAGTAACCTCTTCTCTACTTAAGCGCTTCCTGTCTATTTGTCTGTCTGTCTTTCGCGTCCATCTGTATGTATGTCACGGACTTTGTATTATTAGGGTGTCCCATAATTTCTTGCGATTTTCCTTGCAAAAGGGCTTGTTTAGTCCTTGAAAACAGGACCTCAAAACGATATAGAGTCGCCGTGGGGTTCCAGCAATTACGCGCCACCGTTGTGTCGACGCTGAGTCTCCAGAACTCGCTCTGTGTGAACTAATCAATTCCTCGACGACATTCTAGTAGTCGGAACGATTACGGAATTGTTTCGCCGAAAAACTATATGCTGTTTCTCCCCTCGGGCGGGGGAGGAAAGGCCTTCAATTTTTTTCGTATTCCCCACCGGGATTCTCCTAATGATGGGCC